CAGCCCGGACATGATGGGCCACCCAGAGCTGGTGGCTGAGATGGAGAAGGAGGATCTGGGACCTCTGATCTCCACTGAAGGACTGGAGCAGCTGCAGAACAAATACGTGCAGAGCGTCCGGGTAAGTCGACTTTCTGAGATCACACAGGTTGTGTAGCCGAAGTTAGAAGGTTTCACGATATTTCTGCGTGTAAACGTTGAAACTGTGGAGAAAACCTGTGAAATGTTTGTGTTGCTGCTGCTGCAGAAAAGTGTGTCTGAGTGGATGCATAAAGCTCTGCAGGTGGAGCTGCAGGACTGGCAGCGAGACCAGGAGCCGGACACCGACCACGAGGGCTTCTACCAGACCAGCCTGCCCACCATCATCACACAGGTTCAGACACATGCAGATAGATATATGTAGATACATGTGTTTGAGAAATCCTACAGATTTGCTCCAAATCCTCTTTGAGTTCTGAATTTATTTAAATAGACCTTCTGTGTCAGAGATTCTTGTTACTGCTTCGTTTCACAGGACTTTTTTTACCTGAATATCCCAGAAACCTCAAGAAAAAGTCGTCATCATGTCCATAGCTTCTGCTGATTTATTTATCTATTGACAGAAATTAAAATAAAAATCTATCATTTATCATCAGAATGAAGAATAATACGGATATTTTTATTTCTATAATTTCCAAGTGAATATCTCCACTAATCTCAGTTCACTCAGTTCAAACCACATTTTTATTGTTGTGGGTTGAAATGACTTAGTTTTGTCACATTAAAGTGTTTAGTTTTAGTTCAGTTCATCTCAAACTACATTAATGTAAAACAGAAGCATTGCTGGGAATTCAGGAACAATACTCAATAAAAGATCTGATATAAACATAATAATGCACACGAATGCCAACTTTATCTAGTTTGAGAAGCAGAAGCTCATCTAGTTCTGTCTTCACAGTGTCAAAAAAACAAACTAACTGATAAATTAAAGAACAAATAAACCAAAAAAAAAAAACAAACAAGATTGAGAGCAGTTTAACCGTCTTCATGTCATGTGGTGCTGCATTAAAAACAGACTGACGTGTTTCCTAAAATTAGCTTCAGAGCTGCAAAATCCACTTTTCAGGACATTTGATTTGATTTCTTTGAAACCTTTTGAAGGGAAAATCTTGATATCTGTTGAAAACAAATAACAAATGAAAGCAGTTTTAGCCTGATAGCTCAGCTGGAGGATGTGTTAGCGTGAAGTGACCGTTTCTGTGCTAGATGCTGGAGGAGAACGCCCGGGTGGCGCTGATGATCGGAGCTTCTCTCAGAGATCAGACCATCCAGATGGGACTGTACGAGATGGAAAACCTCCTGAACAGGTGAGTGTTGGTCTACCTGTGTTCTGTTCATCTCCATTTCCTCACAGAAAAAGTCACTCAGTCAAAGCTGCGTTTGAGTTTTTGTAGATGTTGGAGCTGCTTCGTCAGCTGTGGAGTTCCTCAAGGCTCTATCGTGGATCCCATCTTATTCTTATTCTCCCCTTTTAAGTGGCCCTGTGTCCACATTCTGTATTTTTATGTGAATTTTGACGTAAAAGTTGATGGAAACAGCAATTTTAAAAAAAAGAGAGAGAGGCTCCAGACGGCATTAAAATGGCCGACATCAGCTGACAAGAAAGAATAATTTAAACTCTATCAACCAAATACTATTTCTACAGTTTTCTCCAATTTTCCTCTCATGGGTGGACGAAGTTTGTTTCTGCTTCAAGGTTTATTTAGAATTCAGCAAACAGCTGGTTTAGTCTTCTTCTACTCTGTTTATTGCACCCATGTAGCCTACAGCGCCCCCCTCTGGCAACACTATGCATTTGCTTTTTTACGATTTTTCGAGACATTTCAAGAGTTCACTTCACGTTCACTCGTCGGTTCCCGTATGTGGAGCTTTTATTACGCTGTCCAGCTTTACGTATTTGTCAGATCAGATCAGAGTTACAGTTTCCTGCAGCTGAATCATAACAACTCCACTTTTCTTGCAATCAGACCCTTGAAATGTTCAGTTCTTCTAGATATCAGCCTGAAGTTTACTGTGCATGTGAAAAGTCTGCAGACTCACCAAGTCCAGCTCTTTAACATCCTGAAACATCCAGAAGTCCAGATGTTTGTTCTGTTTCTATCTACATCATCACGTTAGCTTAGCTCCTGCTAGCAGCTCGTCTGGCCTCCAACACAGAGCGAGCAGATGTTGTGATAGGTAGGATTTCTGTTGGAGCCTTACACTTCAACGTTACCAACGTTAATCTGGTGAATCCCAGAACCAACCCCATACTGGCTGGTTTTACCTCCACTGAGCCCAAACCCGGCCCTGATCCTTCTCTTTGTGCATGTTCATCTCAGTAAATGAGGATCTTCTCGCTTGGGCCTCCAGGTTTCGGGAGGCTCTGGTTGAGTTCGGGAAGGAGCATCGCAGGGATCCGAGCAGCAGCAAGAGCAAGTTCTACCTCCACTACCTGCTGGCCTCCATCAGCAACTGCATCATCCTCAAGTAAGGTTCTGGAGTGCTTCAGGCTTCACAGCACCACGTTCTTCATTGTTTAACTTCAGCATCTCTCCAGAAGCTCAGCGTCTGTGTGTCGTGTTCAGGAAGTCCACAGAGTCTCTGCAGCAGCAGCAGTCGTCGCGGTCGGCGGGTCGCTTCTCCAGAACTCCTCCCAACCCCCTGGCGGCTCTGGACCGGGCGGTGCGCCGGGCCTGCCGCCTGGTCATGGACCAGCTCCTGACGGACCTCCAGCCCTTCCTGCCCGGCCTGCTGACCCGACCCTGGCTGGTCCAGGGAGACCCCACCCCCAAACTCTGTCGGGTCCTGGAGCATCACCTGGAGCTGTACGGCCGAGTCCGACCGCCGTGTCGCCAGGTAACCGGCTCCGTGTGCAGGCTGGCTCCACCACGCCAGGTCCAGGTCTGGGTCTGAGACCTCCACCTCAGCGCTCTGGACCTGCCTCCCACCTTAACTCAGGTGTTGTGTGCTCTGCAGCGTCTGCAGGAGGAGGCTCAGTGGCTCACGGTGGTCGAATACGTCCGAGCGCTGATGCAGAAGAGGTTCGTGTGTCGTGGCGCCGACGAGAGGAAGCAGCTGGCTCAGCGGATGCTGCAGGACGACCAGCTGCTGCGAGAAGTCTTCCACGGTCTGGTGAGGACGCAGCACGAGACCGAAGCTGCTTTCAATAAAAGCACTCCTCCTGGTGTTTCTCTGCAGATTTACAGTCAGAGTTTCTTCTAGTTTATGACCGTGGAGCCGCAAAGAGGTCATAATAAATAACTCATCATGAAATAATGAATAAAATAACATAAAAATGAAAAAAAAA